TCCCCCCTCCTCCCCCCTCGCCCCTTCTTCACACACAAATATACATACACACACATACGTATACGTACATACATACATGTATGAAACCCCTCGAACCGTCGTTTTTAAAGTTCGATCGGATCTGGAATGGGGCTAGATATTTGCCCACTCGGATATCTCGCACAGCTTCGCTGTTCGGCCGGATATATCGCCCGTGGATTATTGGAAGTCTGCGACGAATGATTGGTTACACAAAATTTGATTCACCTCACCGCCTTTTTTTCATCCCTCGTTCAATACTCGCTACGTCGCGAAAAGAAGTACATACGAAACTTTCAGTAACGTCACGTTGTATAACAGTCCAGCAATGATATATCGGCATTTAACGTACGTATATCCCATAACGATTCTTCCAAATGAATGTAAAATATTACTGCAACTTATGTACATAGTATACATATAGGAAAAATAGTAATTTAATTTTCCTCAATGTTCGTATGTTTCTATAAATCATCGTTTACGTTAAATGTTAAATCAACGAAAGTTTTACGAAACATGCATATACACATGTATATCGATATGCAACCCGTCATCACCGTGCGCAAGGACACTGTGCAAGTCCGAGAACTGTAATTTGGAAACCATCTCACATACCCCACGCCACACAGCTCATCTTTATCATTAGTCAAGACTCGCTTAACATGCAGGACGATCGTGACGAGGGACATTATCGTGCGGGAATAATCAGATACCATCGGGATGGAAAGCGGAAATGGTATAAACTCAGGGAAACTGAAGATGCCTGAGGGGAGAGAACAGCGGAAGGAGGAAAGGAGAGTGGGGATTGGAGGTAATAGTTCAACGCAGCTGTATCAGGACAAACTGTTACGAGCAGGTGGACATATATGCAGCTAAGCCACATTGAGAACGAAAAGAGGAGGAAAATGAAGTTGTTGCCTCCTACACGGGAATTCGCTTTGAAATTTCCACTGATCGGAACTATGCATTTGGAATTTCCAATGCGTAAAGAAAATGTCCGATGGAAAATAATTCCCACGTAAGATTTTTCTACATCGCAAAATTACGTTGTGAAAACGACCAAGGATCGCTACTAAATTGTTATCGCATTTGTCAACTCGTTATTCAATGCATTTCCAGCGATTATGTCATTATTGCAAAAAGCAGCCTGAACCTAAAACGCCTAATTACGGTAATGTCACCGAAACTGCCAGCCGGTCTTATTTAATAGCCTCGCTTATCAAAGATTAAAGCGGAAGCACTTTAGCAATTATCCGGATAGTTGGAAATAAATTTTTTAATTCAAATCCACCTACGACTTTAAATTCAATTTGCGAAAAGTCTTATTGCAAATTCTGCTTGTGAGGTCAAACGAATCCGCCGTATACGTATTGGGGAGATCCGTGATCCCGATTTTGATCGCGTTCGAAACACGATCGTCGGAATCACGGTCCTGTTCTTTGCAACGAGAAAAAAAAACGAGGGGAATTCGTAGAATATATTTCAATCTGGAACGCCGACCAGCCGGAGATTTAATTAAAGATGCATTGCGCTTCGCTTCTAAAGTTGAATGAAGCTCAGCGGCGCGAACTTGGATCCCGCCCTTGATTACATCCTATCGCGCTAGGTATATCTACATTTTATTTTCCTCACAGAGTGTATATATATCGCTTAGCCGCGATGTCAATTAAACTTTTTCTGCCTTTATGTTTGCCCTTCGAATATCGCCATGAATCCGGCCGATGAATCCGTATGCGAGGCACGAACTTTGTTTTTATCTCGCGAGGTTACGCTCTCTACTTTTGCCGCGAATTAATTGCGATCGACTGACCGGCAGTTATTTCTGGGATTATATAGCAATGAACTTTGAAAAGGGCCCTTGCCGTATGTATTGAGAAAATTTAGCCGCGCTTTTATCGTTCTCCTTTATCGCTGCCCGTTCGATTGCGCCACGTGTTTTCGCGTTCACTTAGATTAATTAAACGTCCGGTATTAATTAAATACCGCTCGAATAAATATGCAGCAGCTGGAAATTGCCGCGCGATCGCATTGTTCGCGTAGCGTTTTTCACGCGAATGCACTTACGATTAATCCTAAAGGGCATGCAATCGCGCCGGACGCATTGCCAGTTATGCATAATAATTCCAACGATTTGCATGAATTTCTTTAACATTTCTGTGCAACATTTCGCCAGGATTTTAATGTCGAAAAATTCCAGCAACTCCCCATCTCATTGACACAAAATATAATATAATCAATATCTACCATCTATATATGTATATATTGTATATATAAAATACACGAATTGGGGGAGAGAAAAAAAAGATGTAATGCTTCCTCACCATTAATATGTAAATGTTATACAGGCAGCATATCATATTCGGGTTTATTTCATTCGGTCGTTTTCATTTTCCCGCCATGAGAGCAATGTATGTATGTGCCGTATGCGAGCATCAACCTCGGGTGGGTCATGAACGTGCTGGCGCCGAGAGGCAAAGTTCGAGCATGTCGGTCGTTAGAATTGTTTCACGACTTTCTTTACGATCGTACCCGGGGCCATTCTAATTTTTCACGTGGCATACACGTCGCACAAACGTCTTTATCTGAACGTTACGTTTCGCATGTATGCGCACGAGAAATACCTACCCGGAAACGAGAGAATTTTCAACTCGATCCCTTCGTTCGTTACTTTTCATTTGAATAACTGTGTTATTATTAAAGAAAACAATAACATGCAAAGGCGCGTAAGTGTGCGTGAATAATAGAATACTGATCTTCAGAATAAGAATATCGATTGAAAATAATATCGCACCTCTGAATTGCAAAAGTGATTTGCAAAAGTGAGAAAAGAGATTTGAAAAATCTCAACAATCAATTAAAATAAAGTGTTTTGTGTATACCAATTTGTTTTGTCTATTACTTAGTCTATTACTTAGTCAATTATTTAATAAAATTCAATAGAGATAAATTAATCTCGTTTAAAATAAATTAAGACATAAATGACAAAGCCGAAGTTTAAACGCGCCTAACACCACGCGCCCAACTACGAAGGTATAAGTTTTGCTTCTTTGTGGCACATTTCTTCGCGGGCGATAAATTCGAACGAAAAACAGGATGCAACGACGCGCAAATAATACATATTACACATCATACATCTGGTATGCCCCAGGTATTCAACAAAACGCAAGTTGTGTCGATACATAGATTTTGAAATAATAGCGCCGAAAACGTTATCGATTACGAGAATTGCTGACTTTCGTAATACATTCGCTATCAAAGCACAGCCGCATTCCGCCGCGAGTTTCATAAATTCGATCGAAGCTTCCCGTCATGCTCGTTCAATCGCTATATTAAAGCCAAAGGCATGCATTGCGCACTCAATCTTCATATACGCGATCCATATTTACGACAAGTTATCAAACGAAAATAAAATTCCAATACAATATTCTAAAATTCTAAAATTCTCTAAACTGCATTTTTTTTTTTAGGAGTATCTTAATTATTGTTCAGGAATTTCTCAATTAAATTTTAGTCATCTTATCCATTCCGACATTTCTCAAGCTATACTTAACAAAATTATAAGTTCACGCAGCAATGTAATTTACTTCTAGATAATATTTAAAATAATCATCAAATATTTTATAACAGCAATAGCGAAGCAAACGAACTTATTAAAATTATGTTACTTATATTAATGTTAAATTGTATTGGATATTCATTTTAAAAAATTTATCTCTACAGTTACATTTTAAATCAACATATTATTTTTCTACTGTATTATATACAATCATTTGCAGTAGAGATTATATACATGTAACTCCGCGTTTCTTCCCCGTTAAAATTCTCACAGGAATGTCCCCATAAATTGCATTGCTGTCCCACAATCTCAGAAAAGCGTGAGAAACGTCGTTTTAATCGTTGCGTGCATGCGAGTGATCGCGTGAAAACACTCGAGGCAAATCCACCTTCGGACGACAAGCTCGGAAAGTCAGGGACTCGGAAAAAGAAAAATAGAGGAAGGGACCGCCCGCGTCGCGCCGAGGCCTTTTCACGGATGCGTCTCTCCACGATATTTTTTTTACGCGGATTTGCGTGACGCGGATTTGTGTGACGTGGCTCTCGAACGCTATCTGCCCATCTTGTTCGAGGATCACGTGGATCTCCATCCCTCACGAGTTTCGAGGGTGTCCCGATGTCCCCCTCGAAAGGTGACGTGGAAAATCGCGAAACGTTAACCTATTTTCTATTCGCGGGCACTTTTGACATCTGGACGGATAACGCGGCGCGCGCGTTACGTCGCGACCCACATAAACAGGTGTGCCTTGCACACTTGCGACGTTATGCAGCGACGCGAGAGCACGTCACAAGGGTTATAATGCATATATAGACGTAGATTGTGCTTTCAGACCGCGACACGTTGACTCTCGTCTTTCATCATATAGGTTTACGCGATCAATCGGGAATACATAACGCGTTATCTTTAGATCGAGCAAGAATCGTGTTACTATTTGCTAAAACTAAAACTAAAAAAATACGTGTGGTCACGAACTAATTTGATCATTTTATCATTTACGTAATAATTTTATCAAAATAATTCTTTGAATAAAAAATATTGAATCATTAAGATATGTGTAAGTACTTTTACATTTAACTTTTAACGAGAATAATACACCGGGGTGAAAAAAGTTGCGAATAAAATTGCAAATTAAAATCACGTTTATTTAAAGCTAATAAAAACTCACGGGAGAGACACTCGCGTTTTAGTGACGCCGACTTCAAATCGGAGTCAACTTCAAGTCGGAGCAGTTCCGACGTACGGTACAAGATGACATATGACGTCAATGGAAATCGTTCCGCCACGGTCAATAAATTTTACAAGCGTGAAAGAAAGCTCATTAGAGGAATGACTTAAACGGGCGTCCCTTTATATTATCTCTGACAGGTGCCTCGAGTGTGTCCCCAGCGATAGAATGAAGCGGTAGAATGTGCGTTTTTCGACTCACCGACGTGTACGCCGTGCGAAAAGCGCCGCCGACGAAGACGTATCAATCAAAAATTACGACGCGGTCCTATCTCTCGTTGCCGCGCTCATTGTTAATCACACACTGAACACACTTGGGCACTTGCGGATCGCGCACAAAACGCGACAAAGCACTGACCGCGACCGCGATAGACCGGATGAACTGAAGGTGGCTGATGGTGCGCGGCGCGGCGCGGCGCGGCGCGGCGTTTCGAGCGCGACCGACCGCTGGCGGCTTGATAGTTCGCGTCGTTCAGATGCCGCGAGAAACGCCAACGTCACGACGCTCGCACGACGAGCGACCGGCTCCGACTGTCGCGGCGGGCCACCCGCTGTTATCAACGTCGAGGAGAGCTGCTCGGCCCTCTCCGTTCGCCTTCGCTGCTTACGCGTACGCGACACCCGCGGCATCCGCGCTACCCCACCACCGTTACCCACTGCCGCGCTCGTGGCTCGTTGGCCCTTCGACCGACCTCCGCTCGGGCATCGTCGCGACACTCGCGCCACTCGCGCCGCGCGCGGCGAACGTCCGCGAGCGCGGCCGAGTTTTCACGAAGCGGCCGCGCACTCCGCGCGCGATGGATTCAACGTCTCAACGAATTTCTCCTCCAATAAACGGAAAGAATTGTTCCTTGTATCTTATCGGGATTCTTGTTAGTGCGGAATTTTGGCCTCGAATCGAGTCGATCGAATGCGACAAGTACCGTCAGACGGAGTACTATCTGTGTCATTTTGAAATCAGAAACCGACATATTTGGCACCATGGACGATACCAACGGCAATTGTGATTAGCGATTACTTTTCAATTAATCAGAGCAAAGCAGTCACACCGATTGAGATTAGTGATTGCTGTTTAGATAGAATCGCTATTGTAATTTGGGCCCATTCTACAATACGTCTCTTTCGGTAACCGGATGCAAATCATTTATCTTTGAATATTATTTATTTGAAAACAAGAATTTTCAAATAAATGTCAAACTTATAGAACTAAAAAAATATATATCAAATTAGAATTGGCATTTATGTGACAATGAAAATCATTTATCTGAATATAATACCATTAATCAACCCTTTTCAAATCGCTCCTTTTCCAAGTCGCTCGAGCGGATTAAAATTTAAATTTGCAGAAACTGTCCACATATAATGACCTTATTTTGAGTTCTCAAATAAATGATATTATATTGTATTTTGTATTCACATAAATGATTTCAGATAAAAGTCATTTTAGTTTGACTTTTATTTATATAACTGTTTTATTTGTACTTAATATCTATCAAACACCAATAAATCGATATATCAAAAATATTCACATCGAGCATCTTGATGCTTAATCACGATAAAAAAAATTAAAGGTCATTAGATGCGGGCGGTTTCTGCGGATTTAAATTCTAATCCGCCCGAACAACTTGGGAGAGAAGCGATTTGAAGAAGGCTGGTTAATTTCGCTGGACGGCAGCGAACTCTAGTGCCGACGCCTTGGCGAGGAGGCCCCCGAAGGAATTTGTAAATTCGACTCAGATGGAACTTTTAATCGTCCATCAGGGAAGAAACGAGGAGTACGGAAACTTTTCGCATAATAATTCTTTCGTTCCAACCAACGGTGAATTCCCCACCGTTATATTCGCTTGGAGCAAATGGTCGGGAATGTTTTCCACGTGTGCATCCGAACGCATTACCTTATGGTGAACAGGTAAGAATGGCCAGCACATTTTTCATTTGTGGCCCACTAACTTGCAAATGGGCCGAGATGACCGGCCATTTTCATCATTTCTGTTCGATTGATTATTCCGAGAAATAACTTTTTAACCGTTTGTGATATCCCTTAGATGTTGGAAAACATTAAAGATAAAGCTTTTCCCGATGATAGCTATAGTCTAACGATTTTTGCTACTTCTTTGGCAGAAATAAATAAAACGCCATTAATGGATTGAATATTGATATCCAGTATTAAGAAGATAAGTCTTTTTTTACGATTAATAAATCATATCCATTCGCTAAAAATAAAAAGCAAATCGGTTTTTTCTTCATGATAGCCAACAATGAATCCTGGTTCAAAAATTGTCGCGAGAACAGTTCATACTATTATATACAGCGATGAGAGCAAGCGTACAGCGGATCAAACGCGTAACTAAACGTTTACGCGACGTTTGTATGTATATGTGCAAAATACTACGTTTGCATACACGTTTGCAGATGTTGCAGACACACTTGGGAAATCAGCCGTTTCTCGTTCCGCACTTGATAAATGCTGCGCGGAAAAGTGGGTTCGTGGATAATTGCGGTTCTTCTTGCTGCATAATGAAAAATCCGAATTACCTCACTGTACGATTGCAGATCCGTACTAAGCTGGAACCCCTACCAACATAGGTTCGAATTTATTAAAAAATTTAGTATGTGTGTTAATAATTTGTCATTCTATTCCCAATTTTGTAGCTAAAATATTTATTTCAAGTCTTTCTTAAGCAATCAATAATCTGCACTTATTATTCTATCATAGTCTGTTTTATTTGTCTTTAGTTTGTTTTTAAATACCTAACTACTGACTATACATTGATTATATCTTGATATTCTTATATATTGCCTTATAAAATAAAAAGATCATCCATATAAAAATTATATTTACTGTGTGTACTTATGCGTAGAATTAATGCTTGAATATTTCATCAAAGTCAACTAGCAAGTAAAAGAAAGTAAAGTAAAAAACAAATAATAATAGTAAAATATAATAGTCTAAGAAAGAGTCCTTTTTCTCAGAAACCTCAATCAATATCAATCAATATCAAATCAAAGATCAGTTGAAACCTAGACTTTATAAGTATGAGCTGACAACAAGCAAGATATACTTCTCTCTAAAAAAAGCCCGGAAGTTCCCACATGCTGACATATATTATACATTAGATGTATTCTAATTGTGCATATATTTTCATTATGTTCGCGTAGGTTGTACATAGCACGTGATCAACACGCTACTAACATGCGTATATTTCTGGACACTTTAAGAAGAAAAGTACTAAAAAATACGTTTCTCTCTCCTCCAGATATTATTTCTTTGTAAATTATAGCAATTGTCAATTCATACTTATTTACTTATAAGATCTATGATTCGAGTTGAAATGTTCTCATGAATAGTCAGGAATAGCCTGTATTTCTTAGTTTCTAGCTCCGTCCGAAAACCGATCAAAAAAATTCTAGGGAAAGTAAAAGAAAAAGAACAAAAAATAATTAAAAACTGTTTGAAAAATTTGAAATCTGCGTGGCAACATCTAAAGAAACAATGATCTATTAAGAAGTAAATTTATTTAAAAAATTATTTTATAAAAGAAAGTTATACATTAAATTTAATAAATTACAAGTATTTAAGCATACCTGATTTCAATATCTGGTTTATGTTATCCGATTTATTCGATCTCTGAATAAATTCGGTTTATTGTAAAAATATTTAGAGAAATTCAATAATATTCTCCCGTAATCCCTACATATCAGTGATCTTTTTTTTGCACAATGTTTGATATATATTATACATATCCTAGTTTCAAATTGATGCATAAACCACCGTACATTCCTATCGAATATCGTGTCGCAAATTAATCAAAGAATACTCGACACAATTGTGACGTATCGGTTTATTTCGTTAAAACTTCTCTTTTATGAAGCTTCGTGCTACTCCAATATCCATAAAAAAATTTCTCATATTATAATAGAACATAAAGAAATATATGTATATATTAACAAATATAAAAATACATATACATATAAATATATAAGAAGATACGATTATAGTTCAGCTCTTTCTTTAATAAAGCGTCGTAATGTAAACTTCTTCGAAATGTTTCTAGAAGAAACTTGTGAAAACTTTTCTAAATCCTGTTAAAAATGGCAACTCACATTTCTAGTATTTCTACACTTCTTTTTCGTGTGACTCAAAATGACTCTTGCACACAGAAGTTTGAAGTTAAACGCTGATTGGCTAAAGCCCATGACATGTAGAAAAACGTAAAGGTCCATCTACAATGAGAGTAATAAATCGTAAACCGTAAGAAATTCACCAATCACAGTCTCAGAATATGAGAAGAATAATCGACTGTGATTGGTAAATTTCTTACGGCTTACGACTTACTGCTCCCATTGTAGATGGACCTTAAAAGCAGTAAGACGTAAGCATTAAGCAAATCGGCCAATCACAATAGAAAACGTTACACAGAAAAAATCAGCTTACTCCAACGTGTTAAATTTATTTCGTCCTTAATTTATTATTGCTACTGCCCATTATAGACGATGCATAATTCATTTCACTTACTATACTTACGCTTTACTGCTGTTTTTGTATGTGCTATAGGCCTCGAAATATCTCAAAAAATATAAGTTTTTTTATTAAAAAATTACAAATAAATAGATCTTTTTATACCTTATAACTTTTGTCTGAAACAATTTTCATAAAAATTGCGTGTATCAAGAGTTAATAATGTAATTTAATATGTATAAATTATATCATGTATTTATACAAGTGTATAAGTATAAAAAAGAAAAAAAATAAATCGAGCATCTGTGATGATGTCTAGTAAAAATAAATAATAAATATTATACTCTTTAACAATTTAACAAAATGCAGAAATATCACCGTGAGGTGATATTTTTATGTCCCTGCACAATACATGAAAGAAACATGCTGTTTTGGTTACAAAATCGTAGAAAATATGATACGTCTCTCGTACGTCGCAACGACATAACATACTAAATAATTTGTTCTAATTAATCAGATATTTATCGTATTTTCTATTGTTAGTCATTTTTCGAAAATAAATTTTTTATTAAAGTATTTTATGTTTTTTATGTTATAAATTTGGCTGTTAATTACATGACAGCAACCTGTCAATACGTTGCGGCAATACGCTACGTCCAATGACATATATATATAGACCGAGCATTCTGTCCACAGCATGAAGCCGAAAGTTGGCAGAATACGACTAAGAGAGA